CCCCAAAACCCCAAAACCCCAAAACCCCATATAGTTATAATCCCCTAGAAAATATAAAAATAAATTAAATGGAACAAAAAGAACATAGTTTCGTTGAGGATTCAGATTCAAGCTATTCCCATAAACCTGACAGGGAACGCTTTGAAAAATAAAAAGGCAGCATTCGACATCAAGAAAATCATGAGCGAATTTATCATCAAATAAGGAACTATTCATTAGTGACTCTATTGGCGATATAAGGTCCTACTATGATCTTTCTGAAACCCCACTGGGAGAAGGGGCATTTGGAGTGGTCTATTTAGGGACAGAAAAAGCCACAGGGGAAAAGAGAGCGGTCAAAGTTATTGAGAAATCTAAAATTAAAAATTTTACAAGGTTTCATAATGAAATATATGCTCTTAAGACCCTTGATCATCCTCATATCATTAAGCTATACGAAATATTTAAGGACGAGGACCATGTATATCTAGTCCAGGAGCTTTGTACAGGAGGAGAGCTCTTTGACTACATAGTCGAACAAGAATACCTAACTGAAGAAATATCTGCGAAAATATTCCATCAACTAATGCAATCCATAATGTATTGCCACAAAAACAGGATCGCACACCGTGATCTTAAGCCTGAAAACTTTATGCTTAAGTCCAAAGATGGAGAGCTCTGAGTCAAGTTGATTGACTTCGGACTTTCTTGCTCATACATGACTTTTGGAGACAGTGGCTCCCAGAAATTAAAGAAGATGACAACTAAAGCAGGAACTCTCTTTTTCATGGCCCCAGAAGTTCTAAAACATAATTATAGTAATAAGTGAGATATTTGGTCTGCAGGAGTCATCCTCTACATTATGCTGTGAGGCTACCCACCCTTCGCATCTGAAGACGATGCTGAAACAGTCGAGCTCATCAACGAAGGAGAAGTCGAATTTGATGATGAAGCATGGGAACTAATCTCTGATGAGGCTAAAGACTTGATCTCAAAAATGCTTGTTACTGAAAAAGAAAGACTTTCATCCAAAAAGTGTCTCTCCCATCCTTGGGTTAAATAAATACTCGTACTCAAGGAAAAAGGGAAAATTATTGGATTCTCAATTAAGCAGATTGAAGGAGTTTCAGCATAATACTAAATTCCGAAAAGTTATCCTTTCTTACCTTTCGACTCGAGTCAGTGATGACGACATTAAGCAAGAGAAAGATCTATTTAACTCTATTGATAAGAACAAAGATGGGTACATTACAGTGAAAGAGTTACAAGAGGTCACAAAAGACACAATGACAGAGCTGGATATTAAGAATATTCTCATGAGCATTGATCTTGACAAAAACGGTGCTATTAACTACTCAGAGTTCATTGCTGCTTCTATGAATGAGATAATTACAAAAGATGCTTCGAAGATGAAAACAGCCTTTGATTTCTTTGATAGAGATAAAAATGGCTTCATCGAAAGGCATGAACTCAAAGAGATCCTTAGTAAAAATAACGATGAGATGCTTGACGAGCTGCTTATTGATGAAGTTGTTAATGAATGAGATCTTGATGGAGATGGAAAAATAGACTATTTAGAATTTTATAGGTGCATGAGCATGAATACTGATTAAAAACATTATCTCCATAATACTTAACTATATTCGTATTGATAATATTCAACTAGATTGAAAGAATTCGGGGTTTTGGGGTTTTGGGGTTTTGGGGTTTTGGGGTTTTGGGG